CTTAGGAGGGTGACGGATTTAGTTTGGCCAATGACGCACGATCGAATCGCGGGTGATTCCGCACGATCGAGAGTACGCGTGGCGAACAAATCCTGAACTTAAACCGAACGATCGCGACCTCCGGAACTAGTGATAATTCCTCACGTTCTCCCGGTAATCGAGGCCATCACGACTCGAGTAACCCTAGGTCGATACGCGTAAACCCTAAACAGCCGCCCGTTAATGAGAGACCCTAAAATTGGAAAATGAGCGAGTTTTGGTCACGAAATTGGACCCAGACTTCGGTGCCGATTTTCGAGGGCTTGTACAACTATTTTTGCTAATCTGACGTCATATTATGTTGGCCACGCATATTTGGAGTAGTTACGGTCGAAAAATGGAATTTCGGCCTGGAAGTAAAAAAATTACGATTTTGCCCCTCTGGACCACGACGTCGATTTCTGGGGGCGTAAGTGACTATTTTGCGTGGCTGACACCATTTTTGAGTGGCCACACACATTTGGGGTTGGTACGGGCGAAAAATGGAATTTCGACCCGGGACCGGAAAAATGACCGTTTTGCCCCTAGGCTATTTTGGGTGTTCCGAATTTTGAGGCATTTTGGGGATTAATTTATGTTCATTTCAGCCCAATAATTCAACCTAGCAAATGACCAAAGTGCCCCTCAATTATTGGATAGAGATGAATATGGGCCAAGTTTTCAAGGGCAAAAGTGGAATTTTGGAAATGTTGGTCAAATCTCTTTGACCCATTAATAAATTTGTTCTTCTCTCTTTCCTCCCCCATTTTCTCCCGGCCATCTCTCTCTCCTCTCCCCCTCTCTCCCGAAATCTCCCTCTCTTTCTCTTCCTCTCGCCGTGAGCCGCCGCCGGAGGAGCACCGCCGGCCGCTGTTCGCCGCCGCTCACCCCCAGTCATCGCCACCGTCTCTCTCTCCCTCACCGTCTCTTTCTCTTTCTCTCCCGTCCGGCCAAGGACCGCCGGACCAGCCAAGCCGAGACCGCCGGCGTGAAGGACTCGCCGGACAGCTGGGACGCCGCCGCCGATTCCGCCGTACGCCGGCAATTGGCCACCCGTTCCCCGTTGTTTAGTTGAGCTCGAAGCTGTGAGTATAAATTCCTAAACCATGATTAGGACTATTTTGCCTCTCTAGATGGGTTTAGATGATTTTTGAGGTTAATTAAGTTAGGATTAGGTTTAATTAAGGGCTGATAATTATCGGATGATTTTGTGGTGTTTATGGAAGTTAATTGAGTTTATTATGAGGTGAATCGATGCCCTAGCGTGGCTGTTTGGTGGCTGTCCATTCTAGATCCGAATTTGATCATTTTGACTAAGTTGAGATTTGTATGGATCCTTGCCATGTTGAGGATTAATTGGACAATTTGGGGAGTTTGATTGAAATTTTCCCGACTATGCCTTGTTTAAATAAATTATGGGCTGATTATTATCGGATGAGTTTGTGGTGTATGTGGGAGTTAAAGGAGTTAATTAGGAGGTGATAATGCCCTAAATTGAGCTGTCTTGTAGCTGTCCTTTTTATAGAATCTAACTTGACTGATTTGGTCAATTTAGGAATTCAATTGGGTAATTGTAAATTGTGCCTAAATGAGCTGATTGTTGGCTGATTCGTGTTAAAAAGATGTTAATTCCGTGATGCCAAGCCGCATGGTTGTGTGACCGATTAATGCGGTGTGCGATTGACCATTGATTGGCGTGAATTATGGTTCTCGAAAATGTGAATTATGTGTTTGGCTTGTTAGCATGTCAATTGGGCACGTGTGGCATAAATTGAGCACGTATTGATTTTGTTGAGTTATGTGCTCGTGATTGAAATTGATTGCTCATTTTGCATGGTCAAGCATTACGTATGCCGAGAATGGGCATGAGAAGAAAAGTGTGCAAGTTTGCGTGCTTGGCATGAGCATGTGTGATCACCCTAAATGCCCGGATGTGTTTACGCGGGGCTTAGATAAAATTGGCAGTGTGCCGTGTGATCACTTATTGGCCTTCGGGTCATGCCGTCCTCATGCACTTTGAAGCAGGACGATGCCCGGCTTGTCCGGAAGACGGCGTTGGTCCGTAAGGAGATCGGTGTTGCGCCTCATGCATTTTGGAGTAGGCTAGAGACACTGGGCCGGAAATGCGCTTCGGCGCGGGCCGCGGAGTGTTGTGAGCCTTCGAGCCGTGGCCTTCGGGTCGGTTTATAAATTGTTAAAATGAGACGTGTGCCAGAGTACATGATTTGAGGAATTCATAAGCATGGCAAATGTGTGCCAGAGTATGTGGCTAATGTGCGTGCCGGTGATTCGTGTGTGAGATAGACACTTGAGGCATGAGCATGCGTATGGCGTATGTGTGACCAGTGTGTCGCGTATGTGCCGTGATTTATATAAAATGCCTAACCTGCAGGGTCAGTTGTATACTCGATTTGGGCCAGAGGGCCCTAGGTCAATTGATTGAAATTGTTATGCAGTGTGTGCTTGGTTTGCCTGTCAAGAGGTGCATGTTAGCCTAGTTTCGGTTTAGAGGTTTTTACTTACTGAGATTCGTCTCATAGTTGTTTAAAACCCATCTTTTCAGACCCCCAGCTTTAAGGATGGCAGGTGTGCCGACACGTTTTGGGAGAAGCCCCGGCTAGATATGGTGTTTGATCGCAGGGCCTCGTACCTTCTAATGATTGGTGGTTGTTGACCCATTTTGGCCTTTATAAATGCATTTGGTGTAAACATGAATACTGTGTATATTTTGTGGTAATGAAATGTATGAGTTGTGAATCATATTGGTTTTTGATATTATGCTATCCTTGGTTGTCTTGTAAAATTGTACAGGTGTATATATATACGTCGCTTCCGCATGTGAAATGTTTCTCTGTGTGTTGGGTGTTGGGTCGGCGACGCATCCTGGGACGTCGTAACAAATTCGACCTGTAAGTGGGATGTTATCGCTTCGTGGGGTACGGGGCATGACATAAGGCGGCGGTAAGGGCCGCGACGCCCTGGCCTGTGGCCGGTCGCTGGCGCCGGCGACCGGCCATGGCCAAAGAAGGGAAGGGTAGAAAGAAAAAAAAAAGAAAAAAAATATTAAAATATTATTAATAAAAAGAAATTTTGTGTAGTTACCAAACGTATTTCTGTTCTTTTCTATCCCAGGAATAGAAATTTTGGATAGTTACCAAACGCCTTCAAATGCTCAGAAATTGTTTCCGGGCACAGAATAAAAAAGAATCATTTCTGAGTAGAAATAGTTCCCGCGCACAGAATGATTGTCATGCGCACCCTATCTCTCGCTTTGATTTATTTGATTTTTTCTTCTTTGTTATTTTTATTTCGAGCCCTTTTTCTTGTTTTTCTCCTATTTTTTCCATTTTATTTTTGGCCCTGAAGTGAATTTTGAAATTTCATTTTTTTTTTAGCTTGAATTCAAGTGAATTTTGAAATTTGAATTTGATGCACACAAAATTAAGCACTAAAATGGGCTCCAAATCCAAGCACAAAAAGTCTCTGACACCACACATGCAAAGAACTTGAAGCGACCCAAGATCCGTATACAGACTTAAAAACATCTCAGTTACAGTTTCAGATAAGACAGTACCCGATTAAGCCGGGATGGATCGACAACATGCAACCTCCGCTAATGTACTTATGCTCCAAAACCCCTTTTCTTTAGGTCTTCCTTTACGACTAATAAATAGTTCCCGTCAAAATAAATCATAAACTTATTTATTAATTTTATATTTAATGAGCTTAATTGTTATATATATTAGTTATAAATAATAAATGAGTCATAAATGGGTTTAGAATAGTAAAGCCTAAAATAATATGGGTATTAGATGGGTCCACAACTTACTTAAACTCAACTCACATCTATAACTCTCTTTCGTCATCATTCAAAATCGCACTCACTCACTCCGCACTCTCACTTCATTTTGAGTATAAATTTCCCTAAATTTGGTTAAATATGGAAGTCTCTTAACAATATAAGTCGGACATGGGTCAGTGAATTTGTATTACATGGCAACGGGTTAAAACGGTCTTTTTATCTTATAAAATAAACTAAAGAAAAGAAAGACGATTTCCAATTTATTCTTCGGTACATGGGTTTGTGAAATGCTTTTTTTCTTGACTCTTATTTACTTGGTCAAACGATGTGTGTATATTGTACATTTTGAGACAATTATTGGTCCTAAGAGGCAATTCGATAAAATTAGATTTCAATGCTATTTCTTTTTCCGTTTTCCTTAGCTTAGATAATTTATCATGAAAATATGGATCAATTTGGGTCGGATCATTTTTTACTCGACCCATCCATTTAACGGGTCTATCAATAGATAAGATCGAATGAAAATCAAGAGCAGTGCCTATTGATCTGGTCTTCAGGAATCAGAACTGTTAGCACTGCTAGATCCAATAGACACGTTCACATTTCTGTCTCAAGGACTATGAATTGGGAAGAACTGAAACAGATATTGAAGTCCAAGGTACAATTGAAATTACTCAAAACTTAGAATAGAGTTCAGACAAGAAAGGCCTTTGAAAATGGAACTCTTACAAATTATTTGCATCTTCTTTCTTTTCACAAGGGTTTCGCAGTTAACCCTTACTATTATTACCCATATTTACGGACGGATCGTAGACTAGACTCGGTCTGCATCAGCAACCACTCCCCCATGAACTGATCATGCATCCACATCAAGATGCAGATGAGAACATCTTGATGCAATACCCAGCAACAGATTTGTGCCAAATTTTACCTATCTGCCAGTAATTTATCTGTTAGAACAAGTTCAGCCAGAATCGATCCATATTTAGAGACACCATCATCTGCACCAGATATTCCAGAATGGCAAAGCCTATTTTGGAATGGGGAGGGAAGGAGAAAATCACTCTTACCCATCAAAAACCTCTGGAGAACTCCTGATCTCCTTCATAACAATCCCATCTTTATAAAGCTTCCAAGCTCAACAGTCTCTCAACGGGTTTTTGGACATCCAGCATCAGAAAAGAAGGCTGCAAAGATGAATTCCAAGGCTTTGGCTTCCCTCTTCTTTGCAGTTTTCATCCTCTCTTCCTCAGCCGCCAGCGCCTTCAACATCACCAGGCTCCTCGGCCAGTACCCGCAATTCAGCACTTTCAATGAGTTTCTAAACCAAGCCAAGCTCTACGAACAAATCAACCACAGGCGGACCATCACAGTCCTCGCCGTCGATAACTCGGCCATTGGCAGCATTTCGGGGAAGCCCTTGGATGTCCTCAAGAGGATCCTGAGCTCACACGTCGTTCTCGACTATTATGATGTCGATAAGCTCCAAGACCTATCGAAGAAATCTACCCTGCTCACCACATTGTACCAGACCAGTGGAACCGCCGTGAACCAGCAAGGGTTCTTGAACGTGACCAAACTGAACGGTGGAGATATCGTGTTTGGGTCCGCAGTGAAAGGAGCGGGCCTAGATGCCAAGCTCGTGAAGGCCGTGGCTGCTCAGCCCTATAACATCTCGGTCCTTCAGGTTAGCTCGCCCATAATTGCACCAGGAATTGACATGGCTAACGCCACCACGCCGTCCGCTTCACCAGCAGCAACGCCCAAGAAGGCCCCCACTTCAAGCCCCGCCAAGGCCCCGGTTGTGGCCGAGACACCCGAATCATCAGAAGCTCCAGCTGCCGAAGAACCAGCCGCAGATGCTCCCGCCGATGCACCGGAATCAGACACACCGGCCAGCTCTCCCCCAGCACCCGCTTCAGATGCAGATGCAGACGCACCAGCTCCCGCAAAATCTTCAAGCTCTCGAGTGGCTTCGCACGTCGGTGTGGGCATTGTGATGGGTTTGTTGTCAGCGGTCGTGGCGTAAATTTGTAGCCCGGTTCCGTTAAGCTTTTTCAAAACAAATGTATACAATATAGCTCTTTTACTTGTCCAATTGCAGCAGAATCCTGACATTCACACAATGAAGGACTGTACAATTCTAATCAAGCTCCATCGTCCCGCCACCCCGTTATTCTCGGAAGTCTCTCTCGCCCTCTTCGGGCACGAAACAACAATTACAAGAAACAAAACTAACCATGGACGACTCACAATGGTAGATGAGAGAATAGGAAAGGAGAAGTTATATTTCACACATGCAAACCCATCTCGCTAATTCACATGCTGCTCTATTTCGAATCGCGTCTTAGGTGTAAAAGAGGCATGCTGATTGCTGATTACGGTAATAACAGTAAAACCTGTATGATCCATTATTTGTAGGAAAAGAGATTATCACCTTCATACAAGAACTTCGCCTAGTTTGTAAGTTTAAGGCCAAAGATGTAGCAAACCTAATTCGTAAGTTCTCTTTTTTTCTTCTTTTCGTGTCCTTTCTCTTTTAGATTTAGCTTATTTTAAATTTACTTTAAATAAAATTTAGGTTAAAAAAATAAGATTTGGACGTACCACATAGAAAATAAAAAATAATCAAAAACTTAAGAGGAAGGACCTAATTGTACCAATTTACTAATTGCACCAATTTAACAAGTTTAAAGGCTTGATTGCACATTTTGAAAATCTTAAAACTCAATTACACTTTTGTGACAAATTGTAAAACTTCCAACGCGCTTATTCCTACATTAAACAAGTAGCCAAGGGCAGTAGTAGTTAACAATACCCAATTTCAAAACCAATTCTCAACAGCAAATCCTTCTTTAGAATTGCTGCATCAATCTAAAGGATTTGCTGTTGAGAATTGCTGTTGGATCTGTTTTAATGCATCAATCTTTCTTTCGAATCTATCAAGCAATTCTCAACAGCAAATCCTTCTGATCTCAATACAGAACTCACCTCAAGGAGGCCACAGCAAACATGCTTTCCACATCCATGTAACTGCAGCAACCAGTGAGGCAGACTACGCATAACATTATCAATAGTACCTAAAAGGACCACGACAAAGGAATCTCTATTCATTCTTTCCACGAGAGATGCAGCAGAATCCTGGATCGTGACAAATAAATAGTGACGCAAAAGCACAGTTGCTGTAGCATTTAAAGTGAAGAGGCCAGCTTCCAACTTCCAAGCAGACCCACAAGGAAAGAGATTAGAATCAGAAGACATCCACAATCAATTAAGCAGAAGGCCCAATTATCTCAACTATCTAAAAGATAGTTTGAGGAGTAATGAAGGACAAGTTTCCTTGTAAGATTGATGCAACTAAAGTAGAGTCTCAACCTCAAGTTGGTAATTTCCTGACTAGTATGCACGTTCTATAGCTATTCAAAGACACAGTCGAAAAGACTAACCCTATCCTAGCAGTTCCATCCATGCCCTCCATGGCATCAAATTAGGGGTGAACACTACGATTGCTGCCGATCAAAAAGAGCCAACAAACTTCGGGGTGAAATCTTCCATCTAGACAAAATTCCCTCTTGAGCAAAGTTACTTCAGGCTTTGACCTTGTCGATTATGTCCAATATCACCTTGTCCATGTCAAGCGCCTTCATGGGGCCAAATGGTCGTTTCATGTCCTGCACTCATGTAATACAGTGAGGTCAAGTATACACATCTGAGCGAGGAATAAAATGGATCACAATCTTTCATAGATTGGATGGTACCAGCAAAATCAAAAGAGAGTAAGGGTTAATACCATAATGAAAGTACTACAGTTAAGATCATTATCATTATGTTTAGTAAACAAAAAAGAAAATCACATGATCTCATAAGAAACTTGTTAACGGCAGACTGATAAGGCATTAACAACTATGCTACCAGGCTGCACTCAAGAGCATCCAACCATAGATTTAGAAGAAAGGAATATGTTAAAGGATAGGGCACCTATTAAGGGTCATTAGTTGTGTTTTTGAAACATCCATGTCTAAGTAGGTGATATTTTTTAAATGAGTTATTGCTCCATTTTCAAAAAGCATTCATATCCACTATTATTATTTTTAGTAGTCTTAACTAGTGGCCTTGGGGTACTCATTAACAATATCCTCAATGAAATTATTCCCCTACCATTTAATAGCCAATTTAGAGAAGGGAAATTCCAAGTTCTCATGTAGGTCCATCCAATGTCTGGGCACGACCCACGCTGTCAGTAACCTAGGAAAGTATTATACACACACCATATACTTACTTGCTGTCACAGGTTATGCAAACCTTGGCAACAAAGTGAAAGGAGGGAGCATATGTACGTTGCATCTGATAATCATTCCGGTAACCATATATCTTGTAGTGTGTGATGGAAAGATCTATTGGTCGTGCACTCTAACAAGTTGTATGGTTCAAACAAAAGCGTGCTTTATAAACACCAACATGTGCAAAAATGAGTGTACCGGAGATGAGAATGCTTCGTTGAATATGCAGGCATATGAGAAAAGACAACTAGAAATAATTCTATCGAAGAAAAAATGTGTTGCTCCAATTGAGGATAAGATGAGAAAAGATTGTTTAAGATAGTTTGGTCATGTCAAACGAATTCCTACAGATGCTCCAGTGAGAAGAAGGAAGCAAGGGATGGCAATACTAGTTAGATGGGGCAGGGAAAGACCTACAAGGACGTGGAAGGAGACAATCATAAAAGATATGAAACTTGTAGAGCTTACAAAGGATACAACAAAGAATCAAGTACAATGGCATAATAGGATTCATATAGACAAATTCACTTTGTAGGACAGGACTTAATTTGTTTTGTAAACTAAGTGCAAATCTTAAAGTAAAGGCACACTTTGAGATTTATCAGAGACTTGTACTCGTAATATTTGTTCCTGAAAAGCTCAAATCCACAAAAAGTGGAAGTACTTTCCACCAGCGAATTATTTCTGAGCTATCTGATAACCGAGTACCATATTTACATCCTCGGACGTAGGTCAAGCCATCCTTTTTTCTACCTTACCCGGAAGAATGGACAAAATTCAATCATCTATTCACAGCATTTCTCATCTCTTTCGCTCTGCCGTTTCTGACAAGATAGGTGCCAAGATTTCTCACAAATGCAATAAAAAAGGGAAGTAGTCTCGTGGGTTTAAGCTTATGGATCAAATGGCAAAGGGAAATAAAGCCATTAATAAAAATAATGTCAAAGCACTAACCAATAGGCTGATGAATTTGTCACCACCTTCCTCTCGTATTTCAAAGCAACCTCTTCTAGGCTGTACAAAAAAAAAAAAAAAGATAAAAGTTTAGCTAACAGATCTTAGTAAAATAACAACTCTCACTGAAAGTTCACTATACCTATGGGCGAGTGACAGCGTTGTTACAAAATTAAATAAAGGATGTTCTAAAATGCTTTCCGACTGATCAAGGAGCGGTACATAATAAAACATACTACCTAGTACATAAAACATTTAAGGTCAGTGTTATAGTATTTTACTTTGGATGACACTGACTGCAGTAGTTTCACATTATTAGCAATAACAAGCCATCCACACTTTTTCTTTGAAATAGATTTCCTCCAAGAGAATACAATCAACATAATGGTCACAACCCATCATCGATTTGGAGAGCGCACTTCATTGAAAAATTCGGTATTAGTTCTGTGCAGGGATCTTTGCTTAGTCAAATCATGTTTAGAACAGCTCCAATCCCCTGACATGTGGAAATAAAACAAAGGGGGCGAGATTACCTCCCTATATAGCATACTCATGCTCACCTTATCTGGGTTGACCACAACAATGATGCCAGGCACACCTTTCTCCAAGCCATTCTTCACTTGAATAGCCCTTGTCTTGAAGGAATTGCATTGTTTGCTACACAAGAAAAAAACTAGGTAAGAAAAAATGGTAATTTCTTTATCCCTATTACAAATTTGAAAAAGAGATATCTCGGTGGCATTATCATGAAAGGGAGCTTCAAAATGATTAGTAGCCGACTTCAGTACAGCACTAAATACTCACAACATACTTAAACCCAGTTAAAAATTTCTCTGTCAATTGATCAAGTCATATAAGCTCATCAAAATGAGAATCCAGATGAAGATCTTATTCTGTTTTCTAGCCGTTTAAATTTTATCGTTTTGAGAGAAAATTATAACAAATGGTTCAATTCTCTTTTTTTCTTCGCAGCAACATAAATATATTTAAGTGCTACGATAGATCACACCCAAATCTCAGGGAACAAAAAGCAACACCAAACAACCGCTAAGCTGAAAACCATAATGGAAATACATGAAAGCTGAAAAAGCAATTTGCTATCTCCATTGTACAAGGACGGCAAGCAAGATATCGAGAATCTCCAGCACTGAACCAATAGTAGCACTAATCTACTTATAACAATAGTACGATATAAAGACGGATAAAATGTTCAATATAAGTACACAGTTCTAGTTCCCTGTTTCATCATACTCTGATTATAAAGTAGCTCTTAACAAAAACAGCAGTTTTAGTACAATGGAATGGAATGAGATAGGAATGGAATAGAAAGGGGAATCGAATGGCTTGAGTGCTTTTTCTATGCTTGATTGTGATTTAAAAACAAAAGGATAATGTGCATATCCAAATGAAGGAAAATCAGTGTAAACCCTTCAAAAAGTACGTGGGAGAGAAAAGAAAAGATGGACTGGGAAACGTATTCTGCTCGAGCCTTATCGCTCAAGATTGTACACGCCAGCTACAAAAACCAAAGGAAATTCCCATAGAGATGACCATTCTTGCTAGAAAAAAGACCACGCCAAACTAATGGAAAGGGAATTAAGCCGGACTCATGATTCCACTTCCAGTTCGGTTTCCCCAAATCAACTATGCCACAAGGTAAAAAGAAAGGGAAAGAGAAGAATTCGAGGGCAACGGAGACAAATGGCGAAAAAATGTAAGAACATTATCTTCCTTCCTTCGATAGTGACAAATGAGGGCAAAATCAAATAAGAAATGGAGGAATGTGGACAGCAGAGTAACCATAACAGTCATTACCACACTCCAATCACCATTGTTGACTTCTCCGACCTTCATGGAAATGAATCAAAAGATTATGGCAAAAACCTCTCCCTAACATTTCTCTTAGACCGCCTTTTTCTCTAAAAAGAGAAGGAAACTTCTTCTCACCTCCCTTTTCCAAACACATAGATTGGTCACACCAACAAAGAGAGTAAGAATTTTCCCAAAAGACCGCCATAAAATGCTAGCATTTCTCATCAGGGTTATCATTGTCCTGCCATTCTCGCACACCAGAGCAAAAGGAAACCGCTGGGCTCTCAAACATGCTTCTTTTTTCCTCCTTTTCTGCGAAGTCGCTTCAGAGCTGCTTTCTAGCAGTATCATGGGCGTTTCGTTCTGAAACAACGAAAAAGGTCCCGACAAATGGTTCACCCTCTTCAACCCACTCAACACAACATCGAAAGGGCTATTGCTTTTCTTCTTTTGGTCTCAGTAACGTGAAATAAACCCCAAAGAAACTGCATCGCCAAGACACAACAGACCCGCAAACGCCGACCTACCTCCCAATGTTTCATTCCTTTCCTCTCGCAAAAGAAAGAAAAAGCAGAAACAGAAAGAGACAGAGAGACAGAGAGAGAGAGAGAGAGAGAGACGGAGAGACAGAGAGAGAGGAGCGTCACCAGTGCTCGATGACGACGGTCTTGGCCTTGGCGTCCATAGCTCCGCCAGCCTCCGCTTCCTCCAGCTCGCCGTCCTCAGCTCTCTCCTCCTCCTTCTCCTCCCGTTCCTCCCCCTCCCCGCCCTCGGCTCCTCCTCCGGCGACATCCTCCTCCCCCTTCGCCGCCTTCTTCCTCCTCCTCCCGGCCCCCTTGGCCTTCTTGGCCGCCGCCGGCCCCGGCACCGAGTCGGCCCTCGGCCCCCCGGCCGCCGCCGCCCCCCTCGCCGAGCTGCGGGTCACCCTCCTCGAGAAGACAACGGCGGCGGCGGCGACGGTGGTGGTGGTGGTGGTGGTGGTAGTGGTGACCGCGGGCGGCTTCTCCTCCTCCGCCGCGGCCGCAGCTCCGCCCTTACGCTTCCTCGGCGCCATGGATGGAGGGAAGAATCTCTCTCTCTCTCTCTCTACAACACTCACTCTCTCTCTCTCTCTCTAAAACTCTCTCTCTCTCTCTAGAACTCTCTCGCGCTGTGATGATATGCCTTTTGGGGAGGAGGTTGACAGTCGCTTTTGTGCTGCTGCTGCTGCTGCTGCTGCTGCTGCTTCGCCGCTGCGCTATGCAACTCCCGCGCATCGATCCGGAAACGGGGGCGGGATTCGAACGGACGGCACCGATTCGCCGAGCCCGGGGGACTGGTGATCCTGACCGTCCGATTCCGATTCCAATTTCCACGCATCGAGCGATGGTGGTGGTGCGTGTGCAATTTTTTGGACGTCTCGATCGGCTTTTTGAGCCTTGTTTCTGCATTTTAGTCGTTGATTTCGCAAATTATATCCACGTCGATTGAAAATAAATGGATTAAAAATTACCCCGTGTTGTCCTTTTTTTTTATTTTCCTCGGCGTTTTTTTAATATTTAATATCATCGAAAATCATGCGAGATTTCTTTTTCAGGATTAATATCACAAAAAATCTCAAACCAGTATACCTGTAACAAATTTACTCCAGATTTATTTTTTGACCACTTAAAACTCTAAACTGGTATATTTGTAACAAATTTACCCTCCGTTAGTTGCCGTTACATTTGATTAATATCACAAAAAATCGCAAATTAGTACACCCGTGACAAACGGAGCGTAAAACCCTAACGTGTCATCCAACTCGGCAGTTTGATGGTAAAACTTAACGGAATCTGACGGAGGACAAATTTGTTATAGGTGTAGTAGTTTGAGTTTTTTGTGGTCAAAAGATTAATTTGAGGTAAATTTATTATACCTGTAACAGTTTGATGTTTTTCGTGGTATTAATCCTAAAATCAATTACCCTTCTCAGAAAAAGTGCAGAATACGCTCATAAAAGATAATCTTAATCCGTCGATTTGCTGATGCGGGATAAAATAAAAAAAATTAATTGACTTTTTCAAACTCCAATTCAAGGTCTACGACCAATGGATTCCACCAAATTAATCTTGCAACTGACAATGATGGACGAACGATTTTGATCATGGTTGGCTAACTAAAACTTATTAAACCTTATGGACCAAACATGAGAAAGGAACTCATCGTCTTCTTTGCACATAAAGATCTCCACATGTTCAAGCCTTTCGCACACAATCAACGCATTTGTAAAAAAAAAAATTACCCAAATCTAAAATCTCCTTAAAAAATGAGCCACCAAGCAAAGATTACGTATTCAAATCAACATATTTAGATTCATCTATAACAAAATGGACGAGGATATTTGTAATTTTCAATTATTAATGAAATTCAAAAAAACTTTTTGTATTCCAAAAGTGAAAAGTAAAAGTGTGAATCCCACGTTTCTGACATTTGACTTAATGAAGGGTACACTTTCCTTTTCAACTAAAATATTCTGCGGATACAAATGTGGCCAATCGGGAAAATTTTGAAAGGGTATATTCTTAATCGGAAAAGATAAGAGGGGAAACGACACAAATGGTCTCTGAATTTTGGATCAATATGTAATGTGGGTCATGAACTTATAGTATGTTCAATGTGATCCTTGAATTTTCGTCTAACGTGCAATGTCATCCATAAACTTTGAATTTGTTCAATGTGATCCATGAGCTTCTGAATATCTTCATGTAGTTTAGGGACTAAGTTGAACATGTATCAAAAGCTCGTGGATCACGTTAAACAAATTAAAAGTTCATGGACCACATCGCAGATTGGACGAAAGTTCATGGACCATATTGAACAAATTAAAAGTTTATGGACCACATTGCACATTGGACTGAAGTTCAAAAAACATTTCTGTCATTTTCCCAAAATAAAATAACAGCAATTATAGAGGAGAAAGAGAAAATGGGATCAAATTTACTCAAATTTCAAATTTCCCTCCACAATCTTATAAAAACAATTTCAAATTCTTTTTGATTTTCCACCCAAATTTTCATTCATCCCATTTTCCTTACTTCCCCCCAAACACAGCCTAAGTCTCCTCACAAATTGACCATCAAACTAGAGCTCTCCTGTGTTAGTCACTACGCTGAAGAATTTCTTTAACTTTTAAGAAGAAGAGCCCTCGACAGAGCAATGAGCATGAAGAAAGGAGAACAAGCCCCAGTGACCATGACAACCAACTTCGTCATTGATCGGGATGATTCAGTGGTCTTGGTGAATCCAATGTTGTGTTTTGAAGTTGAACGATAGATATTACCGAGGTCATTTTCATGTTCTTTTTTGCTGGACTTGATACCGTTAGAGAATGTCGCTACACGTAGAATTAAGTTTAAGGGAACGGGTTTAAGTCTAGAGATTTAAAATAGCGAGACGGAGAGAGTCGGGTGGTCCTATTGTGAAATAGCAACCGCAAGCATGTGACAGGTGTTGGATCCGTCAACTCTTTGCCAATTGGCTCTTACTAGATAAAAGAGGTAAAGCATAAATGGTCTATGAACTTTTAATTTGTGCAATGTGCTTGCTGAAATTTGGTCCAATTTATAATGTCACCCCTGAATTTTTAATTTGTTCGATGTGGTCCTTGAACTATTGGTAAATGTTCAATATAATTCATAGACAATATGAAAATGTTTAAAAATTCAGGGACCATAGATCCAATCTTCAGATACCATATTCAACAAATTAAAATTTTAGGGACAACATTGTGCATTAGACCCAAGTTCATAGATCATATTGAACAAATTAAAAGTTCAGAGACGACATTGCACATTGAACCAAAGTTCAGAGACCATTTATGCCATCTTTTCTTTAAAGATAGCTCTAGAGACTTAAAAGCATCACACGACTCAGAAATCAACGCATTGATGACTCGTCACAAGATGCGATCTTCTGCAAAGTTTGACACCTCGTTTTGTCCCTGAACTGATCAAGAGACAACTATATACAACTTTAATGTCTGATCAACATTTTGATTGATACAACTTTAATGTCTTATCGCGAGTCAAACAAGTTTATGTTTTGTAAAATGAAATGAAATGAAAAGAAAAGAAAATTTAATCGACATTTTGAGTGATATGTGTTGGTTGTAAGAGATGGATGGTGTTGGAATTGAATGGCCGTTCTTTTCTTATATTTGGGTTGTGACCAAAAGTTGAATGGTAATGTTTTTTGGTGTAATGAATGGTAACGTTATTAACATCAAAATACCCAAAAACAAAAAGGTTTTCGTCTTCTAATAAGGTAGTAATGGAATCGGAGTTTGCTTCGACTCATGGGAAGTAATCCCCATAGTAGGAATGAGCATTTACTGGGAATGACCTCACAAGCTGTAATTATAGGAGACTTTAAAGTGCCCTAACTTATATTAAATGACTTGCCTACTCTATTTGTTTCGAGAAAAATAAATGATTTAAAAAATATTTTTCTAAAACTGATCACTTGTATCGTTTGAAATAATTGATTTAAAATTTCTTTTCATTACCAACGGAATCTTATATCTAAACATTTTCCTTGATGATAAAAATATTTTTCGTTATTTTTGTGAACTATACAAACGATCGTTTTTAGGAACAAAATTTTTCAAATCATTTATTTTTTGCGAAACAAACGAAACCTTAGATATTACCCATTTGTGTAAGATTTAAACATTATTTCACGAACACAATCCATTGTAAACTTGCGGGTCACATTATATCAAAGATTTATCTCAACAAACAAGCATCAACATATAGTATAGAGATGCATATACATGATTGTGCACATTTGTCAATGAATTTCCTCTTATTTATTACATTGGATATAATATTCCATGTCGAAATTACAGTAAAACACCATTAGCATGATTGCTATACATTGAAAATGCCCAAAAATATTTTCAAGTCACACAAAATTCAATTGATGTATACATCATGGCCGTTAAGATCTACTACATTTTTCAATCACCTTCTTTCTTTCCCTCCCTCTCTCTCATAGACATAACTTACTAGCTACTCTTTTCGCGGCCTAATTCCAAAAAAAACCCCAAACTTTATATTTTGTCCCAATTATACCCTGAACTTTTTTTTGTCTCAAGAAAAACCTCAAACTTTTCTCCGAATCCCAAATCTACCCTACCGTTATAACTCCGTCCAATTAACGTCAGAAAAAAAAAAAAAAAAAAAACAGAACCAGCAACTGCGGCGTGGCCAAGCCTTCGCCGGTGGCCGCCGCCACAGCCGCCGGGAAGGAGCGGCGGCCCTCGCCTAGGCCTTCGGGAAGGCCCAGGCGAGGCCTCGCCTGGGGTCGGCGGCCCTCGCCCGGGCCTTCCGAAGGGCCGGCGACCCTCGCCACGCCCGGGCGAGTCGCCGGCGGTCTCGCAACCCCGATCTGGGGCGAGGGTCGCGCCCTCCCCGGATCGGGGCTGCAGACCTCGCCTGGGTCACGGCCACAGGCGAGGCCTCGCCTGGGCCTTCCCGGCCGGCGACCTCGCCCGGGCCTTCCGGCCGGCGACCCTCGCCGACCCGGGCGAGTCGCCGCGAGGGTCCCGGCCCTCGATCCGGGGAGGCGCGACCTCGCCGGCAACTCGCCGGGCGGCGAGGGTCGCCGGCTCGGGAAGGCCCGAGCGAGGCCTCGCCTAGGGTGGGCGACCCCGGGTGAGGCCTCGCACAGGGTCGGCGGCCTCGCCCGGGCCTTCCCGAAGGTCGGCGACCCTCGCCGGCCCCGGCGAGTCGCCGGCGAGGGCTGCGGCCCCGATCTGGGGAGGGCGGCGAGGGCCGCCGCTCCTTCTCGGCGGCTGTGGCGGCGGCCACCGGCGAAGGCTTGGCCGCGCCGCAGCCGCTGGTTCTGTTTTTTTTTTTTTTTTTTTTTCTGACGTTAATTGGATGGAGTTATAACGGTAGGGTAGATTTGGGACTCGGAGAAAAGTTTGAGGTTTTTCTTGAGACAAAAAAAAGTTCAAGGTATAATTGGGACAAAATGTAAAGTTTGGGGTTTTTTTTGGAATTAGGCCCTCTTTTCGCTATTTATCACAAGTTTTGCCAACTCAAGTTAGCCACTTTTCACTTATTCATTTTGCCACATCTCCTCAATTTCCAACCACATATTTTAACATCACA